ATTTACAGTCCGGACCCATTTCGTGGCTTTGTAGCCTAAGTTTTTTGCGAACTTCGTGTAGCCGTCCAAACATTTTCCGTTTTTTGGTACTCTGACCATTCGTTGATTCTTTAGTTTCGTCTTGCATTATTTGCACAACACCACACAACACTTTACTGACAGAAACAAACTGCGACTCACACCAGGAATTCGAAGCTTCTTTGATATTATTGTTAGCGCAAAAAAGCCAATTTTCACCAACTCCCCTGAGTTAGCAAAAACAGGTAGTTGACGCTGCGACTTAGCCGGTTTATTCCTTGTTTTAAGGACATAACCTGTATATTCCCTCTTCACCAAATTTAAGTTCTGTGTTTTCTCTTGACCTAACCGTCTTTTCCCCTTTTTATGAACATTGACGAAAAGATTCGCTTTAATTTTACCAGACTGTGTTGTTAACACGATTTCAACAAAAATTGACTTAGCCTGTTTATTCCCTGTACCCTTCATGTGGTTTTCATTTGATACTCTACTTTTGTATCACCTGTATGGTTAATAACCATACTTTTTTTTCAGCATCCGACAAAGTTTTTCGTTTTGGTTCATTATTATTGTATTTTAATTCGTCAGTGTCTACAGCGATAAGTTTGCATACATTTCTAAATAAAAAAAGATAATAAATCCTTTTACGTTGTTATAAAACTTTAATAATTGATTAATCTTACCTATGCGATTGCAATCGCTTAAACCCGGTATTTTTTTACAATATTTTTGCATATCAAACAACGAGCTACATGACGATCGTCAACCTTAACTAGTTGAATCTTTAATTTATCAAAATTATCGTTAATTTTTCTGCCACTCATCATGAGATCACTACGCACTAATCGTCAAAAAACTATACATCAAATGAATATAAGTCGTGTCGAATAAGTACGTCGAGGTCAAGTGTCAACAAAAATGTCGACGCGTCGACAAGCAACCCTGGTTTTTGGTATCGGATATCGTTGGATGGCGGAAATCTTTTCGGGGTCAGGTTTAACACCTTCGTCCGTTATTACGTGCCCGAAATATATTAGCTCTTTTTGAAGAAAGTCGCATTTTTCCAATTTCAGTTTGAAATTAGCCTTTTAAAGTCGCTCGAATACTTTTGACAGTCGCACGAGATGTTCTTCTAGCGAGGATGAATATATGATTATGTCATCCAAAATACGAGGCAGGTGTCTTCTTGCAGACCTCTTAATACGCTGTCCATTAGCCTTTGAAAAGTGGCGGGAGCATTTTTGAGTCTAAAAGGCATTCTCTTAACCTCGTAATGTCCTTTAGTAATTCAGTCACCTGTCGCTTAATTTCTTTACGCATTTCCAGGGGTTGCCTGTATCTTTTTACAAAAAAAACTGGTTCTTGATTCTTCATATTGAGTGTGTGTTTTATTCTGTGCGTGAAGGTAAGTTTCTGGCCTTCGGTATGAAACAGATTTTTATACTTTGTAAGTAACACTTTTAGTGCAGCTTCTTCTTCTAAGTTAAACTGTTTCTGCTGGAAATAAGTTTTAATACTTTCTTTTTGCATTTGCGCCAGTCGATCGGGTTTGATATTACAGTATCCCATATTGTACATTTCTTCAAATTCTTTTATAGATGTAACATAGATGTTATGGGTTTGTTCGTCCGTTGTTATAGTTTCTTCTGTCATATTATTTAATCTTATAAAGGTTTTTCCGTTAGACACTTTTACCAATGCAGCTGGTGATAAAATTTGTTGTTGTTCATTTGGAAGTTTTACTACGGATTGTGGAAAATATTCGTATCCCTCTTGGATATCATTTACTTGATATTGGATTATTTTGGATTCTCTAGGAAATAATTTTATTTCTCCTATCTGAGTATACTAGGGGATAATTACTCTAGGTGTCGTTAGTGTTTCGTTTTCGGTATCCACACGTGCCTTTAGAGATTTCATTACGTCCATTCCTAATAACATATCGTAAGTGTTTGAGAAATTGAAGCAATAAAATGTATATTCGTTATTCTGTTCCTGGAAAATGTCCGGAAGTGTGACCTTAAGAGCTCTTGTGCCTTCTTCGACACCATGGGGCGTTTGAATGCAAAATGGATCTTCTATTGCATAATCTTCGCATATTGAATGGTAAGTATGTTCATTTACTAAACTTTTAGACGCCCCTGTATCAATAAGTGTTTTATATTTAGTTGTTAAATTTGATGTATGAGAGTCCAGGGTCGCCGGTAGAGTTGTAGCTAATTACTCCGGTTACCTGGGTTGGTGTTGGAGGCTGGTCATAATAAAATTTAGGGAATCGTTTAGTTATCCTTGTTGCTGTTCTGAAGTAGCAACTTCCATTTCCTCTGTATAGTCTTCATACTCATCTTTTATTCGAGAAAAAAGATATATGTACACTTATAACTCGTTTCCTCGACAGAATTTATAAAATATATATGTTGATTCGTTAAATAAAACACGTCGAGTTTAATAAACAGGTTGTTTCGGGAGGAGAGGATTTCGACATCTAACTTCCGCCGTTACTCACAAGCGACTCTCCAAAAATAACACATTGCTTTACCAACCGTTTCTTACGTTAAAAACAAAAAGTAACTAAAAATACGTCTGAACATCCTCCCCCCGTTGAAATACTTTATTTCAATACAGAACATAGGATAAATACAAATTAACATTGGAACCTAAATCTGTCTACGATTTTCAACTGGTAATATGCATAATAATCTAACTGCACGTTTTATAAAACCTTTAGAAGTCTTTATTTCCGCCACTCGCGCAATTCCGTCGTCACCAGGAATCAATCGAATTATTCGTCCCAATAACCACTTGGCAACAGGCAAATTATCGTCCTTTATTATGACGAGATCCTTTTCCTGGAGTTGAATAGAACTGGAACGGGACCATTTTGTCCTGGATACTCAGGAGTCCAGTTCACTCAGGTACTCCCTCTGGTACCTCTTCCAAAAATGTTGGACCAGTTGTTGAATTCGTTGAAAACGAATTAGTCAATGTGGATTTAGATATCTCAAATTCGTCTTCCAATTAAAAAATGACCAAGTGTAAGGGGTGTTAAGTCTTGAGGATCAGTACTTAGGGGTGAAAGAGGACGTGAATTGAGAAACGCTTCAATTTGCGTCAGAAGTGTGTAAAATTCCTCAAAGACTAGGTTCGACTTATCAGCAATTTTGGCTAGATGACCCTTAACTGATTTTACCGCTGATTCCCATAAGCCTCCAAAATGTGGGGATCTTGGAGGAATCGTTTTCCATTCAATTTCTTCACTGGTTAAGTAATAGTTCAGTCTATTTGTATCTGCTTTGTCAAAATTATGAAGTCGCTTCAATTTGGTTTTAGTACCGATAAAATTGGTGGCGTTATCGGAAAAGATTGTTTTTGGTTTTCCGCGACGTGAAATAAAACGTCTCATTACGGCAAGAAAACATTCAGTTGCTCATTACGGCACAAACATTTGTGTCACACGTCGTAATTTTGTAAAAGAAGAAACAGTTGTGAATATATCGAAATAATTATTTTTAAGTATCTCTGCCACCCTATTGTCAATGCTGCCAGCGTCACGAAACATATCACTCTTCAACCAGTCAGGCCCATGCCACCACAGACCACAACCTTTTAAATGATTCAATATGCATCCACGAGTAAGAATATCAGCAGAATTATCCGCCATTGAAACATGTTTCCATTTCGTGGTGTCAGTCAACGCCTGAATTTCTGAAACTCTGTTCGCCACATATGTTTTCCATTTACTAAATTCACCATTTAACCAACATAAAACTATTGTTGAATCACACCAATAGTAAATGTCGTCTATTTTGAGTTTTAAAGATTTAATTATTCGATTCATCAATTTCGCAAGTAGATTTGCACCACACAATTCCAAGCGCGGTAAGGATACCACTCGTAAAGGTGCAACTCGAGATTTGGCACAAAGTATACATCAACTTCACCTGCACACCATTCCATGATTTCACGTATACACATGCCGCGTAGGCTTTTAATGATGCATCGCAAAAACCATGCAATTCAATGCGTGTTGGCTCGTGTATTACAACTCGTCGATCCACTTTCACTTCTTTTATGTTGTACATGTCGCATACGTAAGAAGACCATTGCTCTTTCAAGCTATCGGTTAAGATATCGTCCCACTTAAGGCTGTGTTTCCAAAGTGCTTGCATTAACAACTTTGCCCTGATGTGTATTTGACCCAATAAGCCTAGGGGATCGAAAATCCTGCTGATTATTGATAAGACTTCTCTCTTGGTAATGCTTTTATTCGGATCGTAATACATGGTAGAGTAATGTAAATAATCTTGTTGGGGATTCCACAGCAATCCTAACGTTTTGTTAAATTCGCCATCACTCAAGTTTAAAGTTTTAAATGTAGTTTGATCTGAATCTTCGTGATTCAGCAATTCATCAGCGTTTGATACCCATTTCCTTAGATTAAATTTTGCAGTGTCTAATATTTTTGTGATGGTTTCCATCAATGACTTCGCCTCTTGTATTGTATCAGCTCCTGACAATACATCATCAACGTAAAAATCGTCTCGAATTATCTCTGATGCTGTTGGAAACACATTTTTGTAGTCAATAGATAGTTGCTTCATACATCGAGTAGCCAAAAATGGAGATGACGTCAAGCCATATGTCACAGTATTTAATTCGAAACACCTGATTCGACCGCAACTTGTATCTCGTAAGGCTCGACCGAGATGGGTTTTTCGTTCTCGGCCGAGACCGAGAATAAAATATGATCTCGGCCGAGATCGAGAGCCGAGACCGAGAATAGACAAAGTGTGAAAAAAAAAAATTAGAAATGCTGTTAACTTTTTAATACAGTACTAAATGTTTAACAAAAAAACTGTTCTAATAATCAAAGTTAAATAACATTATATTATAACATAAAAAAAGCAGATCGCAGTCGCCTTTCAAAGACTGTCGCCTCTCGTCGTACAATTGTCCAGCTTTGCTAAACAGTTGTTCGCCTGCTACGCTAGTAGGCGGCTCAGATAAAAACTTATTTGCTGCCTAAGCATCTTATAAGGTGACGAAAACCAATACTCAAAAATGTTAGCATTTCTTTGCAGTCTTGGCTCTCTAAGAAAGCTTTCTAGCGCTATTTCGATCACAGAGCTTGAATTGTATTCGTTATTGGTCATTGACTCGTCTTCCAACTCTATAGAATCATGCGCTGCCCATAAGTTTGATTGATTTGTTGCAGCCATGTTTGACGAGTTAGTTGAAGATGCCAATATCGTCTCACGAGAATCTGATCCTACATTTCCATTGATAGTCTCGATAATATAAAGCTTGGCTGAGTTAACTTCGCTTTCACTTAGATATTTGGTTTTAAACCGTGGATCAATCAGTGTTGCAGTAATTAGTGGCAAACAACTTTTAACAAATGAAAACCGTTGATTAAGAGCATCCAGTAGCTTGCTCTTCATCGTCTCTGCGTGATTTTCATTTTCATTATCATCTTCCTGATCATTAAAGGACTGAATATTTTGTATTGGCGTCAATTTTCCATTTAACATTGCCAACAACGGTATTACTACTGAAACACACGACAAGTCGGAAGAGATCTCCAACGTGGCTTGGTAAAAGCATTGCAAAACGTTCACTATATCTTCAATCAAATTCCATTCACCACTGTTAATTTCTAGTATGCCTCCTTTTTCAATACGGTATAGGTTCAAAGCATTTTTTTGCTCAAGCAGTCGTTCCATCATTAAGTAGGTACTATTCCACCGAGTTTCGACATCTTGAAAAAGCGCATGCTCCGGTAAATTTAAAGTTTTTTGAAAGGTACTTAAATGTCTTCGAGCTTGTTCACTCCTGTGAAAATGGCCGACTACTTTATGACATTTTTTTATCAGCGTTTCAACTTCTGCGACCGAAAAAATGGCATCATGAATCGTCAACTGCAGAGTATGAGCAACACAACCCAACGATGTGAATTCACCTACTCGAGTGGCGCGGACCATGTTGCGAGCGTTGTCTCGTACAGCCAAGTGAACTTTTCTTGCGATGTTGTAAGTTTCGACAATTTCTTTGAGTTTTTCTGCTATATAATCGCCAGTGTGGTCGTCTTCCAGGACAATCGCAGCCAGCACCACTTTAAGGCGCTGTTCTTTCCGAACGAAATGGGCAGTAAAACTCAGCAAAGAACAAGTTTTTGTAAGATTTGACCATATATCAGTAGTAAAACTTATCCAATCAGCTTCCATTAACAGAGTTACCACTTTGGCTTGAACCTTTTCATATGTTTCCGGCATTAACTGGCTGCGAAAGTAGTTTTCGGACTTCAATTTGTAACGTTTTGGCCCAGATGGATCAGCGAAATTCAAACGTTTAAATCCTTCACCTGATACTGTAGTATAAGGTTGCATGTCCACAATTATGTAATCCATAATTGCTTTATCAATTCGTTTGACAATCTGATGATCATCCGGCCATTTTGCTGAAGGCGGATGAAATATTAATTGTTCTATAGTAGTTTGATGCTTATTATCATTATGATCATTAAGGCGCACTGGCTTTGAAATAGCCGCTTCCAAACTATTTTCGTGAGCAATTTCACCCAGTTTATTCTCATAGTCTTTATATTCCTTTGAATGATATTTCGACAGGTGCAGTTTCAAACCTTTGATAGTCTGATGTTTGGGCTGAGGACTGCCTAATGACACCGTTTTACTACACGACTTACAAATAGCCTTCGATGGATGTAATACAATATTTGTTTCATAATATTCCCAAATAGGATTTACTTTAGGCATATTTAGTTTTCATCTGCAACAACACAATATTATTCCTTCTTAGAGTTCTTAGTAAACATTAACATTAAATAAACATAACTTACTCGCTTTATATTGCACCTCAAAACTATAAGTAAAGTAATGATCTTGCTTTCACCAAAGCAGTGTATTAAATCAATTTACAAGTAATCACAGCAAGTAGCAACACAACACTTAAAAGAACTTATTTTAATTTACAGCATTACAGCGTTTAAAGAAACTTCCATCCATTACTATTGTAAACATAAACAATTACAAATACTGCATGAACGGAGCGAAGCTCTCTCATGCACTTACAGTTTACAGTGTTTACACCAATCGACAAGTGCGCGGTAAAATTAAAATTTGTATGCCTAATTGGTTGCCTATCCGAACAAAGTTACAATCTCGGTCATGACCGAGAATCTCGGCTATTATTAGCCGAGAACCGAGACAAATTTCTTGGTTGTATTTGAACCCGAGAATGCCGAAACCGAGATCGAGACCGAGATCTCGGTCGAGCCTTAGTAATTTGTTTTTTTTCATTAATTTTTTATTTAGAAATGTTTAACAAAATATGATAATAATAACAATATGAAAATAAACTAAAATTCCGATTAGTTATATGTAAGTATAATAATAACAAAAATTAAATTCTTTATAAACAAAAAAATATCTCATTCTTCGAATCATTCTTATATTATGTATTACAAAATTAACTGAATGTTTTAGGCTCTGTGTTTTACATTAAAACATTCTAAACAAATAGGGGGTTTTCCTTCACAATTTTCACAAAATGTCATTACGCGTTTTGTTTTTACTCTCGCCATTTTAGATCCTTGCTCTCTTTGAATTTTGTCGTAACAGCTGGCACAACGTTTTCTGTTTTTTCGAGCTGTTCCTTCAAATTTCTACAGTTTGTGAATACTTCTTCTTCCTTTTTTTACATGATTATCATCATTATCTGTTTCTTCAGTGTCCTCATCGTTTAGTAAGCCTGCTATTATTTCCTCCCTAAGTTTTAGAATATCAACATTTCTCCTTCGCGTTGTGTTATAAATTACCCATGCATTTACAACACATGTGCCAACAATTATTTCAAAGATTACTTTTTTATACCATTTAATTGTTTTTCGGAGTGATGTATAATACGACGACATCTGATCAGAAAGGTCTACACCTTTTTTAGCTTTATTATAATCGATAACTGCTTTTGGTTTCATTACCATTTCGCCTTTCTTATTTTGCACACCCGTAGGAACTAATTGGTCCATGTGTTCGGGTAAACTACTTATCATAAGTACTGGTCTTTTATCTACCCATTTGAATACTCGTACACCTTTATTATTTTCTTCGCCATATATTTGACCTTTTTTTAGTTTTAAATTGCATACATTTTTCGGATTGTCTTTACGATTTGTTCGCAAAGTACCACAAAGATAGGTGTTATTTTGAAGCAAATATTCTGATAACTTTACACTCGTGTAAAAATTATCTGAGTAGTATAGATTCGCCGATTCAAGAACCGCCTCCTCGAACCTGCGTTCTAGGAGGAGGTTCTTGAATCGGCAAATTTTTTGGGGGTCAGAGGAGGTTCTTGAATCGGCGATTCTTTTGAGGGTCGGAGGAGATTCGATGAAGAGAGGAGGAGGTCAATTAACTTGAGAAGGTCATGTTATTTTGACGAAATTATTAAAAATGTATCTTTATTTAGGTTATGTTATTAAAAATTTATCTGAAAACAATTACTATGTTTATCCTTCGACGCTTCTCAATGAACTGTTAATGTTTTCGATATATCTCTTAATTTATTATACACAAAGGTATACGGTTTTGAGACATGTAGGTATACAAATAAGTGAGTCATAATGTAAGTGAGTCATGATGTATTATTAGTGGCTGCAATTCGAAAAGAATAAAAATCGTTAAAATATTACTTACATCGTCTAACTGCATTAACATGCATACCGAAAATATAAAGTCAATAATTTCATCACTGAATGAAGGCATGTTGTTTAAAACTAACTTAAAATACATTTCTCATCTTTATATATTAGACTAGCGACATAAAGTATCGGATCCAGTTTATCACATGAAAAAAAAATCCTAGAAACAATATGTATGTATTATTGCCGTATAAATTGTAAATTAAACAATTTTTGTTTATTACGGGAACAATTTTGCAGAAATAATATGTATTACTGTTACATAAATTGTAAACCAATGTCTTTTGATAAGAGAAAAAGTTTGAAGAAATAATATGTTTTGCTGTTACATAAATTGTAAACCAATGTCTTTTGAATTTCAATAAAATATTATCCCATCCGCTATCGATATAATTTAATCAGAAATCGATCTGTTTTATTCGACTAACCGCTTTTATCTGTTGTAACACCGGTAGCAGTAACTCTAAAGTATTCCGTCTGCTAACGATATAATTCGATTAGAAACCGATCAGTTTTGAAATTTCGTTTGTTCAGGATGGATCAAGCACGCACGATACATTTTTTGAATGTCAGCAGCTACCACGTAACTGTATTTGCGATAATGAATCAAAGCACTGAATAGATCGGGTTGCAAAGTGGGCCCTACTACTTGTAAGTCGTTAAACGAGCGGCCCGTGGTCGTAGGACAGGAAGCGTCGAATACAACCTTTAACTTTGTGGTGCTACTGTTTTCATTCAAAACACCATGATGTGGTATGTAATAATTTTAACCCGTTTGTAATTTCTTCATCAACTTCACGCATGTGTCCCAACTTTAAATATTCTCGCATGAACTCATGGTACCGATGCCCGAAATCCGAATTATTTTTACATTTCCGCTCAATACTAATTAACCGGTTTTTTGCACTTCTATAGGAATCACCCAATTGATCTACTCTATCTTTAAGTGGGATAGTGACTATGAACCGACCGTCTGACGCGGGCATGGTGGTTCTATTAAAATGTTCCTCGCAAAGCACTTCATTTTCTGATGGAGGAATGAATTATTGATGTTGTGTGTTTGGGTGCATGTGGATGTCTATGGCGGTGGATCCGGGTGATCGTGCTCCAAGTGAAGCAACGAGTGATGTCGAGCCTTGCATCGTTTACATGAACTCGAGCGACATTGATTAAGAAAATGCCCTGACCGAAGGCAATTTATGCATAATTTTAATTGCTTAACACGATCTATGCGCCCCTGAATGGTAAGTTTATTGAAGTTTGGACACTCTTGAATGTAATGATCGCCTTTACAGACGACGCAACGCCTTTCCGCTACCGAATCTGCGACCAAAAACTATTTCGCACGCGTATTATTTTTATCCTTGTTCACGACCCGCTTAGAAGAACCGATTTCTAAAGTCTCCAATAAGTCCGGCCGCTCTTTCAAAATTTCTAATAAATTTTCTAAATTAGGTTTCGTCAAAGTTGCTTTTGTTTTTTCCCACTCGCAATTCGAATTTGTATCGAGCCTTGTGCCGGCTAAGTAAATGAGAAGTGTATCCCAATTGTCCGTCGGCTCGTTTAATGCCGCCAAAGCGCGCAAATGCTTACGGATGTCATCAATAAATTTCCGAATAGCCTGTGGATTATCTCCGGTAACCCTTTTAATATTGAATAAAGCCTTAACGTGGTTGTGTATCAATATTCGCGAATTGTCGTATCGTTCCCGAATCAATTCCCACGCTACTTGATAGTTCGTGTTAGTTATTTCGAGACTTTCGATGACTTGACGAGCTCTACCGGTGAGTGCCGACAACAAATAATGGAATTTTTGTATATCATTTATTGAAGCGTTCGCGTGAATCAAAGATTCGAAAATATCCCTGAAACCAAGCCATGTATCGTAACTGCCGCTAAATTTGGGTAAATCTATAACTGGTAATTTAACGTGTTGCTCCGGAACCGGTCCTACCACGAACAATGAGTCGGCGCATATTGTCCTGTTTGTCAAGATTCATTTTGCTTTGGCGGTGTTAGCGTAAAAAAAACCCTCAAATGATTCCCTTTCCGCGTTTTGCGCCTCGCCATCAACGCTCAAAATATCAATTTCCCCCTGAATTTCTTCAAATTCATCGATAAGATTAACCGCGCGGTCGTAGCGCTGCTCTAACTCCACCGAAAGTTCCGAATCGGTACCGCCGTCTTTTATGATCGCTTCAAATTTCGCGACAAATTTAGAAAAATTTGTTAATTTGCCCTTGACAGCGCCTCGTTTTTTAATTAAGTTCTCTAATTGGCTCATATTGCCTTTGAAAACTCGATACAGATCGAGACCGAAAAGGAAGGAAAGGACTTACAGCACGTCACAATGGCGTTGTTTCCGGCTACCAAGCCTCCAACATGGACTTCTAAGTCGCGTGGTTTGGAATTCCTGGGTCGTCTTGGATGGGTCAGCAAAGTTCTTACCAGGATGGACGACGTCGTGGAAAAGAATTTGACACGCCGCATCAGTGACTGGATACCATTTTTATTTCGATTTTCTTTTTACGATCCGGCTCGAAGGACCATTTTATGTTACTTATTTTTTCTGGAATGCGCTGATTCAAACACACTTCTTTTATTTGTATTTAAATTATTCGTTATTTTATTTATTTTACACTTGTTTTTGAAATTTGCGAAGTTTTTCTATTATATATATAACTGGTACGACGTGAAAATATATCGAAAGACGGGCTAAATTTTGCGCGCACAGGCTCTTTTATACCGTTTTGGGAACACAAAAAGTTGTTCTCGACCTAACCAAAATTAAAAATAAAATTGTGTACTTTATGCAACCCAAACTGCTATTAATTTTAAAATAATTAGAAACAATTGTACTTAGTGATAATATTATTTATTCGATCTTTACCGGTTTCGGCTCACATTAAAGAGCCATCCTCAGAAGATATCTCCTTAAAATATTACAATAAAATTAACAATCAGCAGAGTGGAGGTTGTGGTTTACTTACGTCAGTATGGAAAATAATTAAATGGTAGTTGATAAAATCTTGATAAAATTTGCATATGTCAGCAGATTAAAATTTCTTGTATAATAAACGTCACAGAAATTACGATCATAGTTAAAACACACAACAAAATCGACAATAACAACGTGTTTGTCAAAAACAAGTTAAAAAATCAAACTCCATACAGAAATCTGTAACATTGTAAACACATTGTATACAAGTCAGATCAAAGATAAAAACAAGAAACGGATAATTTATGTATTAGTATATGTTGAAATTGGAAAACCAAAAACGGTATAGTAAAGTACGCTTCGGGAGAAATTATGGGTAGGGACTAAATGGATTTTTTAAAGTTTCGTATAGGTGTGGAAAAATTGGAGTAGTTTGTTCAGTTAGAATAAGTCTGTTAGGGTTATTCTTTATGAATTTCTGAATTTCGTACATTTCTACTATCTCCATTTTATAACTTTTATTCATTCCATGTAGTAACTTAGTATTTTTGTTGATGTCATTT